GGGAAAGAGAGTCAGGGCTCTTGAAACCATTCATCACGTTGGACAGCATTCAGCAGTATATTCAAGTGCTGGTTCCTGAGGATGTTGCATCATTGCTGGGGAATATCCATAGGTCACTTCCCACAGTGGGTTGCCTCAATCTCTGCCATGGGCTAAAACCTCATTTTGCTTGAATAAAAGTATATCTTTATCGCTTGCTCCTTGGATGACTTCCTGCCACACCAAGGAGGTCGGTGCTGGTCATGTATGTAGGCCATGACCTGGGATGACCTCAACTGACTTCCACCCAATATAGATATAAGCCCTTTCTGCACATTGCAGGTGTTCAGGTACCTGACTGTAATGCTCATGTTGCACAGCCCTGCCTATTTTGATAGCAGATATTGTTAGACACTGTTCAATACAAGCAAATAATCATATTTAAATGTCAGGCTCTCACTGGCCTAAAAAGAGGTTTGCATCTCAGAACTGCTACATTAAAAGATTGAAAATAATTATGCGCCATCAATCCTGCCTAAAGATAGGCAGTGTTCCTGAGACACGAGAACAGATATTTTCTCCCCTGCACAGACAGATATAGCTCTCATTTATCATATACTCCAAGCGTCCTACTGTAGTTTGTGGCAGCACAAAGAACTAGTTCCCATCAATATTAGCTGCTGATATTAGGGATGTAATGGAAAAAATGGACCAAAAATCCATGAATACTAGTTCTTCATCACAGAACAATAAAAAGAAATAGCCCTTTAAAAAATGCACAGTCCTGTTGTGAAGTTAGCAAAATGCAGGGCCCAGAGTGAGTAACTCAGCTCTCCATAGGGAATGTTTAGCTGAAGTGGAATGGAGATCTAAAGACATACTGGGTGCATCTACACGTGAAATTAAAGTGAAGCAATAAACTTCAGAGCAGTTTCACAGAGTCAACTACTTCTGGGTGCAGTCTACACATGTGCCCAGGACAGCAGCACCTTGAGCCAGGGTGGAGCAGCCCTGGCCTGGCAGGGAGCATGGGGGATCAGCCCCAGGCTCTGGGTGGCAACATTGGGCAGCAGAAGGGCTGGTTGGGGCATGAAGGTCAGGCAGGAGTCTGGCCCTTGGCTGGCTGGGATGACTGGGAGCAATTTAAATTTGCAGTCCTTGTCTATGTGTGTGTTTAACTGCATGTAATGACCCCGCCATAACATTGTACCGTCCCCAACAGTACTCTCTTATGGCAGAGTTCAGTAATTTACTGTGCCCTAATACCAGCACATGTGTAGACTGTGATGCTTTACTGCAGAGCTAATTAGTCTACTCAGCAGTAAAGTGAACATGTGGATGCAACCACTGGGATAGCTGGTGTAGGTCACTCTAGCAGCATTGATCCAGGGAAGGTACCTGATTTACAACACCAGAAATGTTAGCACACTGTGAGGAAAGACTTGGAGGAAGTGTCATGTGAGTTAGTTGCATCTGAAACATTGCAGTGCATGAATGAAAGCGTGGTGGCATGTTTATAGAGTGAAATGAACACCAAAGATGGCAAACTTTCAGAGCAATGTGGCAGCTGAAAGAGCTATTGTAATCCGGGGATATAGAAGCATCCGAACGGAAAGTAGCGGAAAGCAGTGATTTTACTTTTACGTAATGCCCTGGTAAGACTAATGTTGGAGTACTGTGCATAGTTCTGGAGTCCATATTTTTAAAAAGGATTTCAGAAAAACTTGGAACAGATGTAGAAAAGCACCACAGTAATGACTGGAGGCACAATACCTTACAGCAGAGGCGGGCAATTACATTGGGTGGAGGGCCGCTTACCCAGTTTTGGCAAGCTGTCGAGGGCCACATGGGTAGCCCCGCCCCTTGGCAGGTACCCCGCCCCCTGGTCACCATCTTGGGACCAATGTCCCAGGGCCAGTGCAGGCTGGTAGGGGTCTGTGAAGCTGGGCTGCACTGCACCAGCAGGGAGAAGGGGGAGCTGGCCTGGCTCCAGAGAGCCCTTGCCGGTCAGAACCCCATACCCCTACCACCCTGCTCTGGGCCCTTCTGGTGCTGGCCCTGGGCCCCAGTGTGGGCCCCACACTCCTGCTCACTCTCAGTGCCCCCCAGCCCCAAGGTACAGGCAGGGGGAGGCATTGCAGCCCCGATCCCACACTCACTGGCAGGTAACGAGCTGGTGCTGAGTGCAAGGAAAAGTGGTCCCTTGCCCGCCCTGTGGCTGGTGCTCCCTG